CATATTCATACATTAGGGAAGAAATATTCTTAAACGTAATAGACAAAAATGTCTATTGTTTTTAATGATAGCTGTTTAAAAGAACAATTTATGTGCTTATAACACACATGCACACACACACACACACACATATATATATATATATATATATATCCAAGTATATGATTGGTGTATACGGAATAAATTCCAATAACTAATTCTACAATCTACATTCAACATCATCTTGATAAGGCCAGAGGTGTTGAAACAAAATGGCTATTTTGTAGTGATTTTATAACATATTTATGTTATAATTTTTTAAATAAATAATATATATATATATATATATATATATATATATATATATATATATATATATATATATATATGGCCTGACAATTGCGTCTAGCAGGAAACAGCCTGTAAGCCTCTAAGTGTTGACCTCAATGTTCACTTTTTTATATATATATATATATATATATATATATATATATATGTATGTATATATGTATGGATGGATATATATATATTAGAGAATTTGTAAAAGATGAGTACATGATTCTAATAGATTTTATTATATTTGTTCCAATATTTCTGGTTGTTTAGTCTTTATAATTGTTCTTCCAAGGTTACTGCTTTATAAAAAGTGCAGTAGAGATGAACACTAGAGCTCTAGCTTACATATGCACAAAATGCTTCAATATGTATAGCTGTAAAAGTCACAGTAAAATCACTGCAGCTTATAAGATTATTGGATAGGAGACAGTGAGTTCCTGATATTTAAAGATGATACAAACACTTGCATACACACACATACATACATGTATGTATGTGTACATTACTGAAAGTTACTGCAGAACCAGGTATTTGAAGAGGTTAAAAGATCATCCATTCAAAAAGAAAAATAAGAAAGAAAATAGAAAGTAGCCTTTTTCAGCAAAATGTGTAATCTTTTTAAAGATTTCATATAACAAAATGGATTTTATACTTTAAACTTTTGCACTAATGCTTTTATGGTAAGTTTCGTGCATACATCAATATACACCTTATCGAGAGAACCTACGGAGACGTCTTGAAGTATTGAGAATTTATGTGTGTTACAACAGAAGGCAGAATGAATGATTCTGAAGGTGGAGCATTTTCTAGAAGATGTTATTCTCTCTCGAGTTTTGTTAATCCAGGCTTTGGAAAATTCTCTGTTGTTAAAATCCGAATGAAATTGTCTGGAATATCTTTGCACAGAAACCAACATTACGAATTGAGTCATGCATTTTTATCTGTCGACTTTCATCTGACATTCTTTTCATGTTTCAGAAAGTTTTTAAAAAAAATATGAACGGAATATATTTATTCCGTAGATATGATTTTTTATTCTACTTCGATGTATCACTGAAAATTTGAATACTTCTTAATGTATGTACATGTTAGCTGAAACATAAGGTAGATTTGTATCATTTTATATTTAAATCTGTGAGTGTTCCAATCTCAGTTCATTAATATATATTTATCTCAACACATTTCTTTCTTTGTCAGGATATTTATATATATCTCAGTTTCATTCTTTATTGTATCTAGCAAGCTTAGTCTATTCTTATCTCTCTCTCTCTTTCTATATATATGTATATGCAATTATGTATGTATGTATGTATGTATGTATGTATCAACGTTTGTGCTTTCTATCTATCTCTCTAATTCTGTTCATATATACCTACCTACCTACCTATTTCACTGTACATACATACATATATATATATATATATATATATATATATATATATATATATATATATATATATATATATATATATATATATATATATATATATATATATATATATATATATATATATATCACTGTATATATATATATATGAATATATATATATATATATATATATATATGAATATATATATATATATATATATATATATATATATATATATATATATATATATGTATATATATATATATATATATATATATATATATATATATATATATATATATATATATATATATATATATATATATATATATATATATATATATATATATATATATATATATATATATATATATATATATATATATATATATATATATATATATATATATATATATATATATATATATATATATATATATAAATTAATTGATTTAAAAATATGGTTATTTTCGCTTAAGAACATATTTTATATCTTACTGTTATTTTTTCTTTTATTTATATATATATATATATATATATATATATATATATGCATATATATATATATATATATATATATATATATATATATATATATATATATATATATGTATATATATATATATATATATATATATATATATATATATATATATATATAAATATGTAAGCAAATGTAAATGGATATAGATCCGACAGAATGAAGAAAAATTTGAAAAAAAACCAAAAATCCTTAAATGCATTTTTGTCAAATTGAACTGAATTATTATTTTTAATGAATATTGTCTTGAAGAAGGTTTATTAAACCGAAACGT